ATTAACTGTATTTCCAGCCCTCCCTCCTCTGTGGAGAATGGGGTGGAGGTGGGATGTGGGGCCGAAACTCCCAAGTTCCAATCATGATGTGGTCCTTCCCAGTGACCAGCTCCCACCTGGGACCCACTTAGAGTCACCTCATTAGACTGAAAGGACGCCCCTATTACTGAGGAAATTCCATAAAATGCAGGTCCTCTATGTCAGTCAGAACCCAGGTCAAAGACCAAATATTTGAACAAAAGGTATTTCCTGTCTTCTTATCACTTAGGAAGAAATTACAAGGGTTTTAGTAGGAGCTCTGTGCCACGAACTCATGGCAGAGACCAATATATGATTTTTTTTCTATTATCTCACACCATGCTTCTGGCAAACTGGCTGTAAATCTGTTTCCCACAGCCCTCTCCTTGAGTTCAATCATTTGCTAGAGCAGCTCCCAGAACTCAGGAAAACATTTTAGTTACGATTTTGCCAATCTATTGTACAAGGCTAGAACTCAGGAAAGCCAGATGGAAGAGATGCACAGGTCGAAGTGTGTGGGAAAGGGCTCGGAGTTTCCATGCTCTCTCCCAGCGCACCACCCTCCTAGCACCTCCGGATGTTCACCAACAGAAGCTCTCCAAACCATGTCCTCTGGGATTATTGTGGAGGCTTCCTTCCCTAGGCATGATTGATTAAATCATTAGCCATCGGTGATTAATTCAACCTCCATTCCGCACCCCTTCCCACAAGTGGGAGGGGAGAGACTTGAAGTTTTAACCCTCTAATCATGACTGATCCTCTTGGCAACCAGCCCCCATCCAGTGGTGACCTGGGGGCTTTCCAAAAGTCATTCTATTAACATAAACTCAGAAGTGGTTAATGGGTTTGTTATGAATAACAGAAGAGATGTATTTATCACATTTGTCACTCTGAAGCTATTTACAAGAACTGAGGACAAAAGCCAAATATTTTAACAGAAGTTGCCTCTCCTGCTCTAATCAGTTAGGCAATACAGAAGATTTGGGAACTGCGAGCCAGAAAGTGCAGGTGAAGACCGAAATATAAATTTCTTATTATAAATCACAGTATCGCATGCTTCTTAGCAAAAGAGAGAGATGAGGCCATTGTAATGGACCATCACTGTCGGAGGGACTGAGAGTCCCTGATGCCACAGGGACCGTCCTGCATGGGGTAGAGGCAGCGGCGTGGCACGCAAGCTGGCTCAAGAGAGGAGCTTGCCTCTGCCTGGCGAAGCTCAATAACCAGAAGGTCCACCACTTTGAAAAGCCAACTCTTTCTGAAACCTAAGGGCCTTTCATTTAGAGGTTGTATTATTTTATGATTGTCTTATTGTTTCTGTTGTCTTAAATAATCAGTAACAACTTTCAAACCTAATTGTAAAAAAAAAAAATACTTTTCAAACTATTCATAGTTCACAGTACATTAGGAGATACCACAGCCCTGTGATTTTTCCAGAGCAAGAATTCTTCATCTGTTTTGCAGATTTGGAAATGGAGGCTCAGAGAGACCAGAGGGGGCAGAAAAAAATGTTTTCCTAACTCTCTCAGGGTCCCTGGCGAGGTCTGAACATTAAACTGGCAGAGACAGATGCACAGGAGCAGAGCATACAGCTCTATTTAACGTAAGTTTGGTGTGACATGGGGGCCTCCACATGGCAATGAGAACCTGAAGAAACTGTTCCAGCCGAGAGCTTTCTTTCTTTGCTAGGTTTGATGAAGAGCAGACAATCATGGAGAGAAATATGATAAGACAAAGGATAAGTGTGGCAAATTGGGGGAAACGTAGCAAGGCCTGTTTGTCCGGGTTTTTCTTGGTGTCCCTCCATCTTGAGGATAAGGATGTTCCTTTCCTCTGGATGTAGGGATGGCACGTCTCCCACAAGGGTTTTCATGACCTGCTTCAGAGGAGAAAAGCAGAGGAAAGTCACAGAGACCTTCCCACATCTGCTTAAACTACTCAGTGTGCCCTGGCATATGTTATTGTATCTGGTACCAAAAGGTATTGTATTGGGGTGTGGCATGTACTGAACCCCAACTATCTCATATCTAATGCAGAGTAGAATTAGTATTTGAATCTGGATTTAAAGTCCAGGGCTATGCAACTGAATTCTCCTATCCCTATTACACACAGTGTCTAATAGCACATTACAGAAGCTGAAGCTAAAGGTAAAGCAGATAACAGTTGTATTAAAATATAGAAGGAAGGATTACCTGTTTGGGCTGCTAACCCATCATTAAATGAGGCCAGAGAGAGACTGGCATCAAGCCGCTTCTTACCTCCTATACTTTGGAACATGAGATCTGACATATGAAGAATCTGTACCACAGGCATCTGTTTAAGAATTTAAGATTATACACAAATGCCTTCTTGTCAAAATATAGTTGTTGGGTTTTTTTTAAGGGATTTTGAAAAGGCATTCTTTAAAGCTTTACTAAGTTTCTTGGATGTTTATGAGTGTCTCAAATTATGTTTCGGTAACTTTCAACATCAGTAAAAAAAAAACACAGGGGGATTCATTTTTTTCTTTAAACATAATTTTTTTTGAGACAGAGAAAGAGCACGTGTGAGCAGGGAGGGCAGGGAGAGGAAAAGTGGGAGGAGAGAGTAAATCTTAAGCAGACTTCATGCATGGAGCTTGATGATGGAGCTCAGTCTCACGACCCTGAGATCATGACCTGAGCCAAAATCAAGAGTTAGATGCTTAACCAACTGAGCCACCCAAGCTTAAACATAATTTTCAACCAAGAAAAAAATATACAACTAACTTCCTTTTTCACATTTTTTAAAGACTCAAGCATTTTAGAACTGCCTTAAGATTTCCTTCTGATGAACTCAAGATATGTCCAGATTCCCACATCATTACTGGCAGAAAACAATTTTTAAGCCAATATTGTTCTTTCATTGAACAAGCATCAAAGTCAGTGAATGTATTTGCTTTTTGTGCTTGCTTATTAAAAATCAGGGGACAACACTGATCAACCAATCAGTAAAAAAAAAAAAAAAAAACAAAAAAAAAAGAACAAACAGAGCACTTTGAAAACCACTAGCATTTCAGTGCTCAAAAGGCCTCTTTGTGACCTGCGTCCCAGCATCCTCACATCTGAGCTACTCTGACTGCCCTCTAAAATTAGGCCACTCTGAGAAACCTCACGTGGCTAAGTAGAGTACACAAAAGCCACACTAGCTGATAATCACCTCTGCAATCTCACCATAAAATAATCTGCATCTTTCTGAAATCTTTGCGAACTAAAGAAAGGGTTTAGCTGACAGCTCACAGGAGTCCAGCAAAAGTAACTTCAAAAGTTCATAATTACTTGCCTGTCAACAGTGTCCAAGATCCCTGATACAGAAATCTGCAAACCGTTAGGTCTCCAGAAATCACAAACCCCTGGCTGTGATTACCAGGGACACCCTCGTGGAAGGTTTTGAAAAGTCTGGGAGGGCTTTTTCCAGATGGAGGTTTTACATACAGAAAAGGCCAAAGCCTAAGTGAGGGGTATCAGACTGAAATTAGAAAAGATTTTGGCCGGGCACCTGGGTGGCTCTGTGGTTGAGCATCTCCCTTTGGCTCAGGTCGCGATCCCCAAGATTGAGTCCCACATCAGGCTCCCTGTAGGGAGCCTGCTTCTCCCTCTGCCTGTGTCGCTGCCTCTCTCTCTCTCTCGTGTGTGTGTGTGTGTCTCCCATGAATAAATAAATAATGTCTTGAAAGAAAGAAAGAAAGAAAGAAAGAAAAAGAAAGAAAGAAAGAAAGAAAGAAAGAAAGGAAGAAAGAAAGGAAGGAAGGAAGGAAGGAAGGAAGGAAGGAAGGAAGGAAGAAAGAAAGAAAGAAAGAAAGAAAGAAAGAAAGAAAGAAAGAAAGAAAGAAAGAAAGAAAGATTGATTGATTTTGGCGAAGGGATTGAGACCCACTTGCTCTCCATAAATCATTTTTAAAAGCTTTTTAATGAAATGAAATAAACAGAAAGGGTACATTCTATTAGCGTAGAGGCTAACGAATTTTCACAAAGAACACAGCTGTGCGACCAGCACTCAGAACTATAACAACAACACCTACAAAAACCCAGAGTATCACCAGCAGCCCCAGAAGACCCTCCAAGACCTCCTTCCCCAGGGGGAGACTACCTGATTGGTTTGCCTGTTTCTGTGGTTTATATAAGAAAAAGTAAACAGAGTACACCCTGTGTGCCTGGCTTCTTTCACTTGACACCGTGTTTATGGGAGGTCCCCATACTGTGGTAGGGGCAGCAGGAGGCTCCTTTTTTTTTTTTAAGATCTACTTATTTATTCATGAGAGACACAGAGAGAGGCAGAGACACAGGTAGAGGGAGAAGCAGGCTCCCTGCAGGGAGCCCGACGTGGGACTCGATCCCAGGACCCCAGGATCACGCCCTGGGCCGAAGGCAGACGCTCACCCCTGAGCCACCCAGGTGCCCCAGCAGGCAGCTCCTTCTAACCCACGGTGATGCATCCCACTGTGCTGACTGCGACTCAGATTAATCATTCTATTACTGGTGGGCATTTGGTCTATACACTGCGAGTCAAAGGTTATTGTCTGGCTTAGGAAGTTTTTAGAAAACGATGCCATGGGGATCCCTGGGTGGCGCAGCGGTTTGGCGCCTGCCTTTGGCCCAGGGCGCGATCCTGGAGACCCGGGATCGAATCCCACGTCAGGCTCCCGGTGCATGGAGCCTGCTTCTCCCTCTGCCTATGTCTCTGCCTCTCTCTCTCTGTATGACTAAAATAAATTAAAAAAAGAAAAAGAAAACGATGCCATGCTGGAGTGAGATACTCCAAGGATTTTGTGCCAGCACAGGGAAAGAAAAGAGGGGACCATTTCGTTTGCTTAGACGTCGGCTTTGTTCTGCAATGCTTTCATTGCCCCCATCCCCTGGCTCAGGAAAAATCGTGAGTGTTAATGTTAACAGAAAGGTTAAGATTCGGAGTCCCAGAAATCGAGGGAGAGCCTTGGGTCTGCAGGGAGTGGACACAAGTTGTACCTGTATGTCAACTTCAGAGAAGCCTCTGGTCACCGTAAAAATCCTCCGTAAATATCTCAGAAAAGGTAGGATCACTCAGTCAACCCAGATTATTGTGATTTCAGTCTCTGGCATCTCAGCAAGCGTGGGTATCGGGCCATTTTTATCCTAGAAGTTCTCAAGAGAAAATGAGATTATGAGCTGTGTATTTGATCCAAGGAGGCTTAAGTCAGGCCCTGGCAGATTAACCTTCCAGTTTTTAAGTCTTCTGACCAAAACCCTTCTCTAGCATGTAGCTCAGATTTTAATCCCATCTCCAAAATTTCAATTACCCTGCTTAAGACTTCTTTGGGGGTTCTAAAATACTAACTGCTCTCTAGGTTTCCAATAATTCAAGGCAAAGCTAGGTATTTCAGGCCGTCTCTCTTCATCTGGGTGCAATGGTTTAAAATGCACTAGTCTCCCCTCCCCTGCGGTTTCAGTTACCTGTGGTCTGGAACTAGATAATCCACCTGCTGTATCGTCAGATCAGTAGTAGCCTAACACTGCGTTACAACACCGACGTCATTCACCTCGCTTCACCTCCTCGCATAGGCATTTTATCATCTCTCGTTATCTCAAGAAGAAGAAGGTGAATGCAACGCAGTAAGGTATTTTGAGAGAGAGAGAGACCACATTACGTTTATATTATTATAATTGTTCTATTTTACTATTACTTTTCATTGTTAATCTCTTACTGTGCCTAATATATAAATTAAGCCTTATCATAGGTATGTACATACAGGAAGAAACATAGTCTATATATGGGGTTCAATGCTATCACTATCTGGGCTTTCAGGCATCCACTGGGGGTCTTGGAACATATCCCCTATAGATAAGGGAAACGACTGTATTCCTAAATACTTTAGAGAGAAGACTCTTAAAATTTGACTCTCTGATCATCAGTATATAAATTCAAAGTGCCTTTGGGATCTAAAGATAACAAGAGTCCTCGTTTGAAGGAGGAAGGCTGGGAAAATACAAGGAAGTCAAGTGTTTAGATTCACTAGCTTGGAAAGACTTTTAAAATATTTATATCAGTATTGAGAACTTATTTATGTTTATTTCTTGGGAAGGCTTTGAAGAAATTACATGTAAATCCTCAAGGATTTTAAGCATCATTTCATAAAGAAAATGCTACTGTTTATAAACACAAATGTATGAGATTAGAACAATTATTTTTAAAAAGAATTATGACTTTTAATTATATTTTTCCCTGACCTTCTTTGACTGCATCCAACTTTTGAATTGTTTTTTTTTTCCAAACTTTGTAAGCCCTCCAATCATGAGAGATGCTGGTATATGAGACTTTCTAAAAGGCCATCTAAAAGACAAATTAATGACTTCTTGGGTTGCTCAAGTACTCATGCTTCATAAGCATCCAAGTCTCCTGATTATGTTCAAGTACAAAGGCTTAAAGTACATAAAAGTGACAATAATATTTTAAATCATTATAAAAATAGTCATAATATTACAAATAATTACAAAAACATAATAATAATAATTAATAATAATAATAATAATAGGGTGTGTATATCATGAAAAAATAAAATAGGAAGTTCTTCCTGCCCATAACTATCTGTTCTTCATACTAACATTTTCTGTGTTTTTAACTTTTGTGCCAGCCACTGTGTACTTTTAAGAATTGATCTTCACAATGACTCTGTGAGGTGGGTAATAGTATCCCCATTTTACAGATGAGAAAACTGGGCTTCAAGAGGTTAACATTTTGCCAAAGTTACAAGATTGTGAGTGACAGAGGCCTCCACCGTCTTGTTATCTGCTGCCTCCCTCGTACCTACAAGCTGTCCATGTAAGGCTGACACCAAGGCAGTTAGCCTGAACATTGGGCTCTGGAGGGACAAAGGCTTAACTCCAAAGTTGAGGACGATTTCCACTGAATTTGTTGAAAATGATGCAATCTTGTTCTCCAACGATTTAAGGGTCTTGATTTTGTCTCTTTCTTTCAGGTAACATGAAGAAACTTCCATTTGGAGAGCAAGGACTATTATGTCCATCAGATGTCTATTCTGTGCTGTCTGATGCTAGGAATAGAGAAGTTAACAAAATGTGGCTCCCGCATCAGAACACATTAACATGGGACTACTGCATCTGTGCCACTGGGCAAATGAGGGTCCTGCCCCTTGACTCTGCTTTTGTTCTGAATCTCTTTAAGATTAAAAACCTACAATGGACCCCTCTTTGTCTAAACTGCTAAAGTGAGTTCTTTCTTACCGTATGTGATGTATTCATGAATAACACCAAAAGACGACATGAGAATGCAAATATTTGGTTCCTTTAAAGATTCATTTCCAAGTTTTTCCTCCCAAACATGCACCCCATGTATGTATCTCTCTCCTCCCATCTTCCCAACAAGAGCAGCCTTGTGCTAAAATCAACATTAAAAATTCCTCCTAAGGATTCTTCCTTAGGCAGAATATATACTTCACTCTCAGTGAAGAATTCTAGAAGATGAGAGCCAAGATGGTACAACTAACTATGTAGAGCACCTGATCTGGCCCTTTTTTTTTTTTTAAGATTTATTTATTTATCTATTTATTTATTTATTTATGAGAGACACACAGAGAGAGAGGCAGAGACACAGGCAGAGGGAGAAGCAGGCTCCATGCAGGGAGCCCAGTGCGGGACTCAATCCCGGAACCCCAGGATCACGCCCTGATGGAAAGCAGACATTCAACCACTGAGTCACTCAGGCGTCCCCGTCCTTTCTTTAAAAAATATAATAACTAAGACTCCGAGAAGCTAAGTGGCCTATCGATGGGCAGAGAGAAATAAACAACAAACCCATGACTTAAATTCAGGCCATTTCCCCCCTACAGCCTTGTAGTGCATGCCAAGTCCAGTCCTTTGGCCACAGAAGTCTCTGATAGGAGCTCCGGCCCATCACTTTGCACAGTGCTCAGGAGAGAGCAGATTCTTGGTAAAAAGCTGGTTAAGTAAATCGCGTAAGAGGACTCTCAGCTTCTAGTCTACCCCTCGTTACCTCCCTGCTAGCCCTGTCTGGCACTGCACCTTCCCTTCCTTCCTGAGCTACATTGGCCAACAATACTTATGCCACTCTTGCCTGAGCAGCAAGAGCAGGACAGCATCTCTGGAAACACATATTTTACCCAGGCAGAGAGGGACCACTCACAACTGTTTAGTCATTACGTTAACCGGGATATATTTTACTAATGGACCCCTAGATGTGCTGTCTAGAGGCTGAAGTAAGGATGTTTTAGTCATAGGGGTTGGTGACAAATTCAGAGCTTAGAGGGTAGAAAGAAATGAAAGAAAACAAAAGCTAGAGAAAATCAGTGAGTTAACTGACTTGCTCAAGGTCACACAACTAGTTGGTGCCAGAGTGGGGATTTGGGCTCTGGCATTGAGATTACTCTGGAAGCTCCACTCAATGCTGCTCTCCCAATAGACCAGAACCCACTGTGCCCAGGTTGAGAGGCAATTCAGAGGAGTAAAGATGGTGCACAAGCATAAAGGACAAGGGACAAAAGAGGATGCATATCATCAATAGAAATGTTTATAGAGAACCTACTTATTGTGTGTTAGGCATTTGTTATAGACTGAATGGTGCACCCCTGCCCCCCGCCCCGTAATCATTCATATGTTGAAACACTAATCCCTAGTGTAATTGTATTTGGACATGGGGCCTTGCAGGGGTAATTAATATTAAATGGATTCACAAGTATGAGCCCCTAATCCAATAGGGCTAGTGTCCTTTTAAGTAGGAGAAGATGCAACAGGAACATGTGTGAAGAGAGGAAAAGCCATAGGATAACACAAGAAGGTAGCCATCTGCAAGCCGAAGAGAGACTTCAGGAGAAACAAAACATGTTGGCATGTTGATCTTGAACTTCAAACTTCCAGAACTGTGAGAAAATAAATTTCTATTATTTAAACCACCTAGTATTTTGCTATGGCAGGGCAACCTAACACAACCAACATGGCCAAAGTGAGGGAGCTGCTGAAGACTACCTCAGTCTCATTCTGTTCCAAGCTTACCCGGGCCCAGGCAGAAGATGGGAACTAACACAGTTGAACCTTAACTGGGTATTTTCAAGTTAAGCAGGTCCATGCTAAAACAAAAAGTAAGAAGACATAAATAATGGTGAAAGCTGTAGACAGCCATGAACAGTTTATCTTTTCTCTGTGGCTTATCTATTTGTATATCTTTTAATTGCCTTGTTCCCTTGGTAGTTTTATAATAACAAACATTTGTCTCAGAAAACTCATTTCCTGAAAATTCAGAATAAATCTAAACTATTTGAGACTTTAGGTGATCAATGTTTAGAAAAATAATAGTTTATGTCAAGGAAAGAATAAAATTCCATGGAAAGAATCTGTGGAGGGACATTAGCAAAAGTAGCAGAGAATGGACCTCAGAAAATCTCCATGAAAGCAGTGAGAACACTTGCAAAAATTGTCAGAATCAACTTTTTCAGAACTCTGGAAATTAAGCAAAGGTTTATGGCAATCTGAGAAGAGTTTACTCAAGAAGAAAAGCTCAGTCTCAGGAAGACCAGCAAGCTTTGTGACATTTTCACTTGCTCTATCTCCATTTCTCCTCCCCAACCCAAAAGCAGACTTGATAACCAATGCCCCTTCAAGCACAGCAAAATCAGCAGCATAGTAACCACTGGAGGGAGCAGAATGGATCTGGGGTTCCTTCAAAGCTCTGTTCTCAGAGAATTGTCATTATTTGATCCATCTGGTGATTCTTAAAAGACCCTGCTCACAAAGCTGTCTTTACTTGGATTGACTTGAAGCTTACCTCCTATGAAGAGCCTTTTCCTAGAACCATAACTTGAAACATTACAGCTGCCTTGGGTGGCAGATAACAGTTGGGTCAAACAACAGGCTAACCAAAAAGCTTAAAAGAAAAAGGTGAGGAATGAGACATCTATAGGGAGCTTTGAAAAGCTTTCATATATTCCTGGGAATCTAGAAGGCTTCATGCATGCCCGGGGTCATGAACATGCTCGCAAAAGACCTGAGAAGGGCCTAAATTCTCACCTCTAGCTGACCTTGAGACTCTGCACAAGCAGGAAGTGAAGGCTGAGAGTTAGAAACTGATGGGGTGCATGAGTGGCTCTGTCAGTTAAGTATCTGGCTCTTGATTTCAGCTCAGGTCATGATTTCAGGGTCATAAGATCAAACCCCATGTCAGGTTCTGTGCTGGGTGCAGAGCCTGCTTATGATTCTTTCCTTCTCCCTCTGCCCACCCCTGCTGCAAAAAAAAAGGTTGGAAACTGCCTGAATGTTGAAGATGTGCCCCCAAATACACAGCGCTTATGCTGGACTTACTAGACAAAGACTTTAAGCCAGCTATTGTAAATATATTCAAGGAACTAAAGGCAAGTATGAAAGGGATGTCTCACCAAATAGAAATCACAGAACAGAACCAGATAGGAACTCTGAAGTTAAAAAGCGCAAAAATTGAAATATAAAAATTCACTAGAGGAATTCAACAGCATATTTAAGCTGGCAGAAGAAGCAATGAAGTTTAAGATACGTCAACTGAGGTTATATAGTCAGAGGAAAGGAAAAAACAAAAAGAATAAAGAAAGATTAACAGAGCCCTCGGCCACCTGTGGGACACCATCTAGCATACCAGGATATGCATAATGATAGACCCAGAAGAAGAGAACAGAGAGGCATGGGGAAAATATTTGAAGAAATCATTACTGAAAAGTTTCTAAATTTCATGATAAGCATAATCTATACATCCGAGAAGCAAGTAAGTAAGCAAGCAAGCAAGAAAGAACAAAAATCCTCCAAGTAGGATAAGCTGAAAGAGATTAACACTTAGATCATACTCAAATTGTTAAACTCTAAAGCAAAGAGAATCTTGAAGGCAGCAAAAGAAGAGGGACTCATCGTGTGCAAGGGAATCTTGATAAGATTAACAGCTGATTATTCATCAATGACCATGGAGGCCAGCAGGCAGTGAGGTCTGCCATACTCAGTGATGACATATTCAGGGTACTGAAAGAAAGGCCGTCATAAGAATTCTATGTCCAACAAAATTATCCTTTAAGAAATAGGACATTCCCAGATAAAAACTGAATTTGTCACTAGTAAACCAGACCTACAAAACATATTAAAGGGAATCCTTCCTTCAGGCTTTAGTGAAAGTACTCTAGACAATAATTTGAATCCATATGGAGAAATAAAAAGCACTGGTAAAGATAACTACATCGTAAATATGAAAGACAGTATAAATATATTTTTTGTTTATAATTTGTTTTCTCCTATTTGATTTTTTAAAAATATTTCTTTATTTACTTGAGAGAGAGAGAGAGAGTGTGGGGGGGGGCAAAGGCAGAGGCAGAGGGAGAGGGAGAGGGAGAGAGAGAATCCCAAGCAGACTCTCTGCTGAGCACCCAGCACCAAGCCTGCTGCAGGGATCGATTTCAGGACCCCAAGATCATGACCTGAGCTGAAACCAAGAGTCAGATGCTTAACCAACTGAGCTTCCCAGGCGCTCCTTCTCCTACATGATTTAAAAGACAACTGCATAAAACAATAACTATAAATCTGTGTTGATAGGCACGCAATGTATAAAGATGTAATTTTTATGACAATAATAGTGAAAGAGTGGGGAGAGAATGAAGCTATAAAGGAGCAAAATTTTTACATACTTTTAAAAGTAAGTTTATTCATTCACACTAGAATGTTATAAGATATTCATTGTAATTCCCAGGGCAACTATTTAGAAAATAACTTGAAAGTATCAGTGGTACAGATGGTTTCGTTAAATCCAGCAAAGCTTTACTGGTATTTATAAAACAGTGCTCGAACCGGTATGAATTAGTAAAATCTCTGAAGAAAGGAAGTTCTTCACTGAAGACATCATTTTTATTGATTTCTCAACACACAGTGACTAAAAGAACAAATAGTGTTCTTTCATCCACTTTAAATCAATCTATTGTGTGGGCCTATTACGTGTCAGGTACTATTTGATGCTGCAAAAGATAGGCTTAGCAGAGTCCATCTTAATGAAAAGCTCTCTATTTCTGTTACTTTAATTTCCTAATGACTCAGGTCTCCCTTAATCGGCTCTTTAATCTCCATCATACTCAATCTAATCTATTTATTCACTCAGCAAATATGTGTTGAGCTCCTGTTATGCATCATCCATTGGAGATACAGTGGTAAGTAAGGCAGATGGAATTTTTGCTCTCCTGGCCTCAAGGAATTTCCATGTAATGTGTAATGTCATGTAGTATATATAAGGTAATGGCAGGGAATGAGTGTGCCAGGGGATAGGGTCGGGATGTTTTTAGGTAAGTTCAGGAAAGAACTCTCTAATTAAAGAACTTCTAACGGATGAATGGAAACCTAAATAAAATGCCAAGATCTGGGGAAGGAGCGTTGCACAAGAGAGGATGGCTACAGAGCTGAGGTAGGAATGACCTGGGCCTGCGAGATGAGTAGGGAGGCCAGTGTGAGTGGAGTCTCTTAACATATGACTTGGAATCACTGTGCCCTACCATGCCTCCTGCCACCACCCCTGTCCTGACCCGTGGTGCTCACATCTAACTTACTGCGGGAATCTTCTCGTCGTTCCTGCCCCAAGTCTGTGTCCCATACAATTTGTTCTAAACCCACTGCCAAAATGGTTTTTCCAGAACAATGTCATCCTGTCACCTCACAATCAAGATGTTCCAGTGGCTTCTTGGTGCCGCTAAGCCCTTCGGGATCTTCCACAAGCATTTACTGGTTTTCTACTATGTCTCGGATGACTTTTTTAGCCACTGTGCATACATTAACATACAGTGAAAACCAGGTTCTTGCTCCCACAGGGCTTCTGTACTTGAAGGATAAGACAGACACCAAACAAGTAAATCAATAAACCAAGATAATTTCAAGTATGTTAAGTGCCAAGAAGAAAACAGAGAAATGGTGCCCAAGGGGGTTATCTGAGGTGGTCTGAGGTGGTCTGGAGAATCTGGGGCCAGGGTCTCTTCCGGGAGTGGGAATAGCAGGTGCCAGGGCTCTAACATGGGACCTTCAGGGGGAAGGGTGAGGGCATCTCTTATGTGAAGAGTCCCCAGCACACCAGGGAAACAGGCCACCTCTCTTCTGAGTGACTAAAGCACAGGGACCATATTTCTATTTGTGTGCTTATCAACATAGTCAAGTTTGTCTCCCTCTGATAGGCTATGGGTCCGTTGAATACAAGAACCACATCTAATTCATATCATGCTACCTGGAGCACTCTACGTCACCGATAAATATCTGTGGACAAGAAGCAAATGGAGTTTAAGTCCTAATGTGGCAGGTAAAGCCATCCATTACTGAGCTCTAGTCCAACCTGAACTCCCATCCCTGCATCTTGTAAAGCCAGTGTCCTCATGCCCTGGTTCTCTGAGTAAAATATGACAATGTTTATGAATTTTAATAAATCAATACAGGTATCCCCTGCCTTCTGAAAGTTTGCATTGCACCACTCTGGTTTTAGGAAAGACCCCTACTAGTGGCGGATACACTTGGCTTTTATGCCATCGGGCTGATGAAAGTTTCATAGGAACGTCCCACTTTCAAATGGCGGAGGACACCTGCATTACATGAATATAAAATTCTGGAGGGGATCCCTGGGTGGCGCAGCGGTTTAGCGCCTGCCTTTGGCCTAGGGCGCGGTCCTGGAGACCCGGGATCGAATCTCATGTCAGGCTCCCGGTGCATGGGGCCTGCTTCTCCCTCTGCCTGTGTCTCTGTGTCTCTCTCTCTCTCTCTCTCTCTGTGCGACTATCATAAATAAAAAAATAAAAAAAAAAGAATCAAAAAAAAATTCTGGAACACAAATTACTGTTTGCCTGGTTAGAATAACTTCTCAAGAATTAACATGGTTTAACTCCTGGGTTGAATTAGTTGATGATCTCGTTCAAAAATAGTTTAAGCTTTTGAAGTTGACACCAGTAACAATGACCTGTAGAAAATGTTTTATCTTGACTTAGGAGTTTTGTTGAAAGACTGTCACTGATCTTCATTCAATCAATATTAGTAGTAGTCAATATTATTTTTACGTACTCCTGTGTGCTAGGTAAGTAGAGTACTTGTTCCTCGGTATACAAGGGTGAATAAAATACATACGTGCCCTAATGGGCTTTATAGTCTTGTCAGGGATACAGGTAAGAAACAAAAAACCAAATAAATGTATAGCTACTACTATTCAAGAAACAAACAGCATACAAGATAGAGAACAACAGGGAGAATTTTGCACAGTGTGGTCACAGAATGCCTGACATTTAAACCATGACTCAGTTATGCAAAGCAGAGATGGATCTTACAGCTTCTAATAAATTCTAAATAATTTGCTTAATTCTGACAAGCTGTTTCCAATGTCCTGTGGCCATTATACTTTTCTTTGTCCTTATTTAAAAAAAAGGGGGGGGGGATTTTTTAGGTTGCCCTACACTAGTGAGAATTCACTGTGTTTACTGTATGCTGTCAATGTAAAGTAAGAACACTTACCAAGGAGAGGACGCTCTCTTCTTCACCTCCCTGGACCACATGCTTTGTCCTTCACTGCAACTGGGGTGAGTGGCAGTACTTGTGGCTGTGTTTCCTAATGACAGTGATCCCTCTGGGTAGTTCCAGGCATGCAGACCGTTGTGGGCTCACACTGGTCCAGTCCCACAGCCCACACATCAGAGGCCCACTAGGTTCCACAGTTCAGTTGTTAGAACATGGTGTCTGTGGCACATGTGGGGGATGCTCAGGTTGGATCCCGGTGAACTTGTCAGTCCCATGGTCACCAGTTTACTCCACCTCTGACCAGCAACTTCCTGGCTCTACACTGTAGGCTCTGGGAGGGGCCCCCCGAGAGTGTAGACTAATTAGGGTAGATATTACACAACCTCACAGAATTAATACCGGAGGGCTTTTAGAAAGCCAGCTAAATGGTTCATTGTGAAGCAGCTCCCCCAGTCTGCTCAGAAGCAGGACAAAGGCAACTCATTAGCTGGAGAGGCACGAAGCAGCTGCTGGTGGTGTGTCTGTGCACATCCAACCCAGACAGGAAAATAACTGTGAATTCCAGAGACCTAAAAAACAAATGTGCAGCATCCCCCAACACACACACACACACACATCCGCCCTCTGCATTCCTGGAGGGAATGTATGTAAATACTAAGAGAAGGACAATCCAGTAGTCAAGGAACAGGATGCCTTTGTCCGAGATTATTGATCTGGTCCTAAGCAATCTGAGGTGCTAGGAGCCGGCAACATTGGCAAAGCAGCACATCTAGGACTGTTAGGTGGCTACTGATTTATGATCCAGCAAAGAAAAACAATGTATATCTAGCCTGGGCCTGTAACAGCTGAGAAGCCATAAGAAGAGCAATAAGGGAGTCAGGGAGAGAGATCCCAACTGGGGCGAGATGACCTGGATGAGAGGCCGTTGCATTTCCGTTCAGAGGACTTATTTACCACTGCAGGAAACAATCGCTTGGTTGCAAGACTAAACTCAAATAAGGATCTTAAATATAAATCTATCATTGTTGTGAGAGCCTGTAATTCCTATAAGCATTTCTTATCAAGTTGGACTCCTTTTATTCATTCACCAGTATTTGTTAAATGTCTACTCCATGCTGGATACTATTGCTCCTGGGACTTCAGTGCCTCCAAAGGAAAAACAGGAAGAAGTCTATCTAATAGGGTGGGCCTAGGGAAGACAGAAAATCAACTAATAAACAATCAAATGTAGTGAAAAGCAATAGGGTAAATAATAAGCAGGTGAGGATGCAGAGTGATAAGAACGGGGTCTCAAGAGAACTCTTCCCTAAGGGCTATTATATAGAATGGTCAAGGAAGGCTCCTCTGATCATTTGCCCAGAAAGTGCCTAGTAAGCCCTGGGAAGATGTGGGGGAAAGCACTCCAAGCAGAAGGGGAGAAACAAGTGCAAAGTCTCTGGGGCAGGAGTGTTCTTGCCATGGTCAAGGAACCAGCAACAAAGTTGTGTGGCTGAGCAAATAAGGAACAGAATGGTAGGAAATGAGACAGAGATGCAGGCAGGGGCCAGATTGTGTGGGGCCTTGAGGGCCATGAAAAGACTGAGATGGGAAATGGTGGAAAGGTTTTGAGCAGAGAAGTGATGGTATCTAACTTAGATCCCTTTATAGGGATCACTCTGGCTGTGTGTGCAAAATAGAGTGGAAGCAGGAATGCTCCAGGGACCACACCAGGGTAGTAGATCATTAGCACATTGTTAACATGAGCTTCATCACCCACACCAGGAAGCCCAGGCCAAGGTGAATTAATAATGCCTTCCTTGAGTTGGAATTCAAACCATGGAATCTCAACTCATTGGAAAGTTTGTGGGATGGAATAGTCTTATTACTACACTGCCTGACGTAGCAGCCACCAGCCACATGCGGCTATCGAACTTGCAATACAGCTCGTCTGAATGGAGATGTTCTATAAGCATAGATTATACTGAGTTTCAAAGACTTGGTATTAAAAAAAAAACAAAAACAACTCAAAACCAGAATGTAAGATATCTCATTAATAATTTTTATATCAGGGATCCCTGGGTGGCACAGCGGTTTGGCGCCTGCCTTTGGCCAGGGTGCGATCCTGGGGACCCGGGATCGAATCCCATGTCGGGCTCCCAGTGCCTGCTTCTCCCTCTGCCTATGTCTCTGCCTCTCTCTCTCACTGTGTGCCTATCATAAATAAAAATAATAATAATAATAATAATTTTTATATCATTACACACTAAAATGATAATGTTTTGCTTATATTGGGTTAAGTAAGCATACTTTTTTTCTCTCTCCTCGAAACCCTTATTACAGTATAGCGTTATGCCACACAACTAGCATTCTGTTAGATATTATGTTGTTTTCTAACAGAAGTCTAGCTTTAAAATGACAAGGGCTTGCTTTTTTCCTTATACATTACAGGGCCCAGTACGTGCTGTTAGTCACACAACATGTGCTTTGTAAATGCTTGATCTTATATCCAAAAGAAGGCCATGAATGCCAAGCTGTTGGCAAGCTGCTCTTAGAATTATCAAGATCCAGTTCGTCTTACTATGTATGGTCATTCCCACAGCAACCTCTAGACAAGTTGCAATAAAAAGAATAATGTGGCTCTATTCTCAGAGGAGTTAATTTGGCAAAGCAATGATAAAGGAAAGTAATCTTACTTTTGAGTTAGGACCACATTTTCCAAATGAAGTCAGAAGTTTTGATTGCAGGCTCTTTTCCTTCTGCTACCTCTGGTCTCCACGGCTTGCTAACCATTCCTTCTGCTGGGATAGGGGCCTGAATATCCCCTTCTGTCACTTATGAATGTAGACGAGACTTGCCGCCGGGCCCATGGAATCCAGATATTAGGATGAAGGTTTATCTCCACAAAGGGAGGAGGAAAGTTCTGCTCAGGACTGGAAACATATACTCTTGAAATTAATTTCCCCTATTTCTTTTTACTTTTTTCATATCTTATTTTTTACTGCAACATATAACAAAATAAGGTAGGGAAATTTTTTTAACTTTTTTTTTTAATGTGCCTACTAGAAAATTTTAAAACACATTTGCGGCTCACATTATATTTCTATTAGACAGCAATGGTATGATAAACTAAATTATACAAAGAAATCCTTTGTTATTTCGAGACTTGATTTCTCCAAAAGTATTGTCTGTTTTCCAGCTTTAATAAACAAAATTACGCAAAGTACAACTAATGTTATTAAATTTACTTTCATTAATGTGGTGAGTGTGTCAGTTACTCTGCATCATCAAAGCTTTATTCTAAACATGACTCAGTGGCTCCATTATCATGAAGATGGTAAAAACGGCTCTCCCACACTGGCTCTGCCCTTGGAGGGGCCCTTGGCTTGGGGTCCTTAACTTCACAGGTTCAGAACATGAATTTGATAGGTTTCTGGGCCGAGATCATAGGGACACATTTCTCAAGAGTTGGTATGAGAACTGTGACTTCCCAGAAGGACAGGCTTTTCTGGATCATTCTATCTGCCATCTTGCTAATTCAGCTTTTCACCTCCCAAAGGTATATATGTCATGGGTTGGGCCCCAAAGTCAGGCAGGGCAATGAAAACTACAGGGTGGATTCACTGCACGGGGGCTTAGAGGTTCTAAAGGTGGGTGGATTTATGCAAGAGAGGCTGTGGTGTGGGAATGGGGTGGAGAACCCATACGGAGACAGCCATTAATGTGAACTATCCTCAGGCCACATCTCTCTTAATCCTATGGTGACTTACCAATGTCCTCGGAATGATCAAGCTTTAGAGGAGCAAGTTGAACTCGCTAGAAGGAAGTCTACCTCACTGGTGGTGATACACACTCAAAAGACAACTTACTGGGGGCACTTGAGTGGCTCAGTCAGTTAAGTGTCTGACTCTTGGTTTCAGCTCAGGTCGTGATTTCAGGTTCATGAGATTGAGCCCCAGATTGGGCTCTGTGCTCAGTGCAGAGTCTGCTTAAGACTCTCTCTCCATCTCCCTCTGCGCCCCCCTCCCACCCCGCCTGTCTTTCTCTCTCTAAAATAGATAAATTACTGATTTATAGGAAGAAACTAATCATCAAGGATCAACACACTTGGGTCAGAGAGTCACTTTGCTTTGCTCTGTGGGAGAGGATGCTCAGGAGGACAAATCCATCGTATTTGGAGCTTACTTAATAAGCAAAGACAGTGGATAGGAGAGATAAAAGGGTATCCCAAACATTTGGAAATGACAGGATGGACAACCTCTGAAGAGTTAACCTGTAAAGTCAAATCACCCAATGGTTCAGAGAAAAGCCATTTGGACTGGTTAGCTTGGAATGAATTTATGATCTGCATGAGTGTTTAATCTTAGAGATGGTGAGACAGAATGATTCCTAGGCCAGATCTAGACTTGACTGAAACATTAACATATTTCATGGAGGAATGTGTTAATCACCCACAGAAGCAAAGAAAAGGGGGAGTTTCAGAAACAAATTTGGTTGGCCCATTCACACGAAGCCAAGAGACCAGAAGGTACCCTAACTAGAGGTGGAAAGGAGGTCAATGGGGGCATAGGGTGTCCAGCTCTGGAGAAAGACACATTGGCTGTCAGAGTGTGGGCTACACAACATCTGAGTCCTAGGACTAAGTTCCCTGATTCTGAATCCAGCATCACTAAGCTGATCATTGCCTTCCCAGGCAGCTTTCCAATGGGAGAGACCATGCTAGTGAGCTTGGCTTGATTATCTTGTCTGCCTGAGTTATGGATTTCCAGCCTGGTAAGTTAATTGAATTTATGATTGGAGAGAGTAGTCTCTTATGAATTTTTAAGCATGGAGTTCATTTATGTAATGAAGCACATAAATGAATTGTGTTTCTGAATCTATAAGACTTACTCAAGGGGCAAATTCACCAAGTCCAGCTAGTGTATCCTTCCTATTGAGAGCTCTCTGTGTTCCTGAATTCCACTGCCTTCCAGTACAATCCTCAGCAGTAAGCACAAAGAATCATGTTCCAATCTGGCTAAGATGCTCAACTTGGAATTTGCAGGTCCAAGCAGGTGACCATAGCTCTACATTATGGACAGCTGTGTAGACTACAGGTTTAGAGAAGGAACAGACACTGAGCTGAATTTTTACTTACCCCAAGACAACTCTTGAACGTTTTTCAAGTCTAAGTCTCTATTATTAGTATTTTGATATGTTAAAAATATAAAACCATGATTGTGATTTATTCATTTCAGGCAATCAACAAATATTTATTTGAAGATCTGCTATGTTTCAAGCCCCATTCTAAGTGCTGGGATGTATGTCAACAAATAACACACACAAAGATATCTATTCCCAAGGAAATTAGAGTCCAGGAGGGTGGGCAGGAAAAAGACGATCAATTAACAAATTCAAAAATATATAGTATTTTAGGAAGCATTAAGCATTGTTTACATTTTTAAAATAACAGTCGAATCGGGGAAGGAGATTGCAGAACTAAAAAGGCAGAACAGTGGATGCTGTCTGGTTCAGGCTTATGAGAGTGAGCACGTGACCACATACGTTCTTCAAAAGTTCACTTGTAAAACCTACAGATTAGGGAAGAAAGCTGAAAAGAGAAGCAAAGTATATTCAGCACATCTATCCTACATAAGGGCACTTTCACTTGGGCTTTCACTGTATTCTCCTTAGGAACTTCTTTAGGATCCATCCTCACGTATGTGCTGCTTATTGAATTATTGTCTCAGAAGTACTTTGGCTCTGCTGCAGTTTATCAATGTGCTTTCTCACAAACCAGCAGTTTCTCACACCCCCTCGCCCACCCTCCCCTCCCTTCCCTTCTCAAAGGGAAGGAAAACAGAAAGGCTTCTTTAGCTGCCCCGAAAGTCCCTTGATCACCTCTTTTATGAGGCTGAAGTTCTGTGCCTCTTAATCTGAGAACATCTCAGTCCTTAGATCGTGATACCTCATTGACAAAGCTGTGCCCCAGATTCCTTCCCAGCCGAGCCTTTCAAATCTATGCAAATCAGCACTGGGTAGAGTGGTGTGCAACGCTGCATACCTCCTCCTCCACGTTCCCCTTCATCTACCCAAGTTTGCTCTTTAGATCATAACATGAGTTGACTGGCTTACATTTTCCCTTTTAAATAGTGAAAGCACTGGCTGAAAACATTTGACAGAGTTATTAAGGAAAATTCAGTTAGTGAGGTATCTTGCCCATTCTCTCAAGCAACAGAAATCGATTCCTTTCAAGAGAGCTCAAGACAAAAGCATGACTTTTTTTTTTTCCCCCATGCAGGGAGCCCAACCCCGGGTGGGACTCCACTCGATCCCGGGTCTCCAGGATCACACCCCCGGCCGAAGGCGGCACTAAACCGCTGAGCCACCTGGGCTGCCCAAGAGCATGGCTCTTAGATGATGCCCTCCAGCTTACAGTTTGGTCAAGCCAGAGCTTAGACTACATCTCATCACCCAAGACTCCTGTCTAGTCTTTCAAGGTCAGACATTCAGGACCTGTATTCCTGTCAACACCATCCAATATTTACCCAGTCTGAAATCAGAGCTATATAAATATTCCTTATCTCTTCCTTTCATATACTACTTGCAAAGAATAAGCAATGGAATGTGTTTAATAAATAGGCAAGGTGAATAAACATAGAAAAGAAATAAGGAGGCTGGTTTTAAAAGAAACAGAATTATTATATTTTTTAAAAAGGCTTAGGTTCTAGGTTACTTCTGAGCCTATCTGGTTATGGATAGGCTTTGGGTTTTTGTTAGACCCTACAGAACATGTAGTACTTTACATACTGCCTTGATGGGAAAGGAGAAGAGTCAGCTCTCAGTAGCCAAGTCTAAAGATTCATAAACTTTGGTTGGGGCCTTAAGGTAGATCTTTTTCTTTGAGACAACCATCTAATGTAGAGCCTGATGTAAAACTTTCTTCTCTTCATTTGACATTAGAAAAAAAGATTAGGTTAAAGAAGTATGTAATTTTTCTAAACCTACACATCTCAGGGAATGCAAACCTGGAATTCAAATCCAGGTGTATCTGGTCCTAAAAGCCATGTTCAACCCCAAACCTGTAGCCCCAAGTCATTTGCCAGATATCTTGGGATACCTACCCTAAATATAGGTTTGGGTGCCCACTGGCATCCAAAGCTGAGAGGATAAATGCCTTTGGGACAGGTATAAGGTGACCCTGCATTGAGTGAGTGATAAGTCAGGTACCACAGCTGTCTCCAGGCTTAGAAGCCAAGCAAAACCATTATCAAGGGAGTGTTCAAGCCTCTTCAACCAGAGACCTTTCAAGTTACTCCAGTAAGAATAGAAATTAACCTTCTTGAGCAAGCAGAAAATATTTGAATGAATGCTAATTAATGACATGCTGCACTTACTTATAATTTACCAGCCACTCTGAGATCTCTGAGATCTTCCACAAACAACTTACTATGACAATAGCTTGTGAGCTGTGTGCTTCACTCCACAGAACAGGACAGTGAGGAGCCCACACGAATCAGCAGTAGTATTGGCATGCTGCTATCTATTCCAGTCTAGTCCAAGACCAGAAACCACTCTAGGTTTCTCGAACAGAGTGGATTTGATACAGGGAACTGGTTACAAAGGTCACAGAAGAGCTGAGAAACCAAAGAGGACATAGGAAAGCAATCTCATGAGGAACAATAGCAGGCATCTGCTACCATCCCTAGGGATGGAGGGACAATGGGTGGTGGTACTAGATCCCAGGGGGAGGACTGCCTGGCTGAGTCCATGGAGGAGGCGCAGCCAGCAGGGCACACGCTGCGGACCAAAGTGGGGGCTGGGGAAGGAAAGAAACACTCTGGCTTGTCCCCTCCTCTCACCCTCGGTCTTCTACCAGCTACACCCGATGACTGAGCTAAGATGCTAGAAGGGAGCCTGGGAAACATACCTCCATACAGACAGGGTTGGAAGGAGAAGGACGGCTTTGGGATCCGCGCAGAAGTCAAAAATGTGGTGGTGACTAGGCTGCAGATGGGCAATGGGTGCAATGGGTGGGGAAAGGAGACATTGAGAGTATTACCGCCGGTCACTGATAAAGAGGATTAGGAGCACACGAGGACACCCCCCCCCCAATTCCCAGCAAGAGTGATTATCCAATATATTAAAGCATTTTCAGGCAAGTGAGGAAGGGGGCCATATGAACAGGCTAAAAGCATGAATTCCAAGGGAGTATTAAAGAATAATGCATGCTTGTGTTGCAAAATAGATTTAGAAACAGCACAGAACCAACTCCTTGTAGACGAAACTCATTATAATAAAGCTGGTCTAGAAGGCTTGAGATGGAAAGCAGCAGCCGACTGCGGAGCCAACAACAGGAGAGGACGGACACCCTCCAGCACAGGTGGACAGCAGCACGTCTGGACCCCCGAGGTCTACCTACGTCCAGGGCTGCAGGGCCAAGGCCCTCCCAAGCCTGGGGCCAGCACCCTGTGATTTATTCATTCGTCTGTAGAAATTCACTGGACACCTACAGTGCACCCGGATCTAGACAGGACACAGACGGAGGGAACACCCCGGGCCTCTGCACGGCCAGAGTGGGACCGTCCACTCCGTCCAGAGGAGAGGGACGGGTGGGGTGTCCTGGCAGGATATGGTCACAGAGAGTCCGAAACTCCTGCTCCCGGCCCTGCTAGACAGATTCATGGCACTGACATAAGCAGTAGGGACACACCAGCCCCACCAACAGAGATCCTCCTCTAAAGAACAGTGATATCTCCCCTGGATTCGAATTTATTCAGTTCAACACAACATTTGTTAGAAAGCACTGCCCCTGCCCTCCGTATGATAAGAGTGGCAAATCCATGCAATTTCAAATGCTGTCAGAGACCGTAGTCCTCTACAGATTCACATAGAGGATGGAGATTGGTTTCCCCACCAGGGCAAAGTGGTGGCAAAGTGGTGGTGATCAGGGTCAGGGTGACGCAAAGCTGACCCGAGCCATCGTGCAGCCCTCTCGCCACTGAGGCTGAATCTCCACCAGGGAGAACCTTCTGGTGAATGTCTCGTGAGACGTTCAGTGCTCTCCTCGGCAGCACATATACTGAAGCTATCACCAGCCAGGGGAGATTGGCATGGCCTCTGGGCAAAGGATGACATGCAAACTCATGAAGCAGTTCCTATTTTTGTGACCAGATTGAACAGAGAGGATATTAAGGGAATGAAATACCCTTTACGAAACCGGGATACTGGATGGGTGTCCTCACACCGTCGTCCAAACCCGGAGGATGTACAGCACCGGGAGTGGACCGTACCATCAACTCTGGACTTTGGCTGCTAATGGTGTGTCAGTGGAGCTCCACCTGTTGTCAGAAAGGTACCACCCTCGTGGGGGACTGATGACGGGGGTAGGGAGGACTATGCCTTTGTGGGGGACCCGGGGTACCGGGGAAATCTCTGTACCCTCTGCTCAATTTTGCTGTGAACCTAAAACTGCTCTTAAAGAAAAATAGTCTTCATTTTTAAAAAATGACTAAAAAGGGGCAGCCCGGGTGGCTGCCCGGGGTACCGGGGAAATCTCTGTACCCTCTGCTCAATTTTGCTGTGAACCTAAAACTGCTCTTAAAGAAAAATAGTCTTCATTTTTAAAAAATGACTAAAAAGGGGCAGCCCGGGTGGCTCAGTGGTTTAGCACCGCCGCCTTCAACCCAGGGCGTGATCCCGGAGATCAAGTCCCATGTTGGACTCCCAGCGTGGAGCCTGCTTCTCCCTCTGCTGTGTCTCTGCCTCTTTCTCTCTCTGTGTCTCTCATGAATAAATAAATATATTCTTAAAAAAAATAAAAATGACTAAAAAGAAGGAAGAGTTTCAGGCAGGAAAGCAGCTGAGTAAATTCCCTGGAACAAGCCAGACACATAGGAGACAGGGGCTGAGAAAGCCTCAGTCCTCCTCTTGCCATCTGGAGCAGAGCAAGGAGGCCAGTATATCTGAGTCTAATTTCCTCCTTTTATATAAATGCCTGGCAATAATACACCTAAGTAATTGAACTAGTCCAGTACTATAATTTATTTTTTTGATTTATTAATAATTAGGGGGAAAATATAAATGAACGAGATTTCTTACGTTGCAAAATCTTTTGTTTTGTTTTAATGTGTTCCTCTGGACTGATAAGCAAAAACAAAGACTCCATTTGTTATTTAAGATTCTCGTTTCTCCTGGGCTTATGCTCTCCTGGAACAGTACTGTTGTTATCTTAAAAACTTCTGTTTCATCGGAGAGAGTGAGTCCTGGCCAAGCCTGGACTTCCTTGGTGTGGAATCTCTGCTTCCCTCAATATGTGTTTGCCTTGACAAGTTAATTTTTTAAGCATAATCAAGGCCTTAGCTGGCCATACCGTGTTTAGTCAACCACAGGATGTCGGGTATTATGTAGCAATGTGAACTGCGCCCTCAATCTGTTTGTGTTTTCCAGAAAGGTTAAGGGCTGCCGGAGACCCAGCCACAGGGGTGGGATGGGGGGCTGCTTGCCTACCCCCCACCCTCACCCGAACTTGCAGCCTGGCGCTCAGCCGGGTTGCCCCCGAAGCACCCTCCTCGGTTCTGACCCAGGGCAGACCTGCCCACCCACCCCACCCACGGCTCCCTGCTGCCTCCTTCGCTCAGACCCGGTCCTAAGTAGCATCTTAATCATGAAACTCAAGTGAGGGGTTTTGTTACTTTCAACACCTGGACACATCGCTGAAGTTTTAGGCTTGGGCTATAAGCTCAAACCCGTGTCACTGCTGTCATTGGCTAGAGCCACCCTCTCCACATTATACATTAATCCCACAACTGTTTGGGGACAAACCTGAAGGCTGGGGCGGATTTGCGGTCTGTTTTGCTTCTCTGGCTTGCTGATGAGAGCTGTGGGAGTAGGTGAACAGGTCTGGGAGGGCACGAATGGTTTTAGAGCTTGTCCTTCCTCCTCAGCGTTAATTAGAACATTTTATATCAAGGTTAATGCCTTGGGAAGCAATGATGTTAGCTGTTGGAGGAAGCTGAACACATCCTTGGGCAGAATAGATAATACAAGCAAAAAATCAAACAAACAAAAAAAACAGAAGGGCATCCATAACTGCCTGCCTCTCGCCAAGGGCCGCAAATAAGAAGGAATTTTATTTAAAGCCATAAAATCTTTCTTTTTTCTTCTCTGTTTTCAAGTAAAGGTACTTTTCCTAATTTTCAAAGTCTGAGTCATCCTTTTTGGTACACAAGAAGTCAAGTTAGCCAGGTGAGATTGAAAAGATAAAATAGTTCCCCACAGAGAACCAAGGACTCTTTCTCAGCACTTTTTCTTCTTCCTGGGTCACGGACTTAGCACAGTGTCTCCTACTTTATAGCACATATTGCTGCCTTCACCTCCCTAGGCCCCCTTGAAGGCAGGGGGAAGGTCTTGACCCTGAGCTGGAGCCTAGTGAGTGCTCAGGATGGGGTGCTCACAGGAGGGGTCATGTATCGGTTCTGGAACTAAACAACCTAGTTTTAGCCCCAGTCCCGCCACATCCCAGTGTGTGATCCTACCCAGTTACTTTAGCCTTGCTGAGCCTCTGTTTTCTCAAGGAGGAAACTACAGTACCTGCTTTCCAGGATTTTCATCAGAAGTAAATTAGATCATCCTAGTACATAGGTTTTGTGGCTAAATCAATGATGATCTAGGCAGAAAGTTCATCAATGCCGGTAAAGCAATTGCTTATCTATGAAGTGTTCAGGCAAAAGAAAACCCACTCATTCGGATGGCAATTGGTGAAGATGGGAGTGTTTAGTGGGTATTGGGCAGAAACCACTGACTTGTCCAGTGTCATCAAGAAGGCTTTGAAGGATTGGGGTTTCAGGAGCTCTTAGTTGAAGGGAGAACCTAGGGAGTTTGCCCAGAACAGTCTCGCAGGCAAATAGGAGAATCTCAGAAAATTGCTCTGTTGTCTCACTCTCAAGTTCTCAGCACCTCCCTGCTGATCTTGGAAAGAGATGGACACTGAGGAGCAGGTGCAGAGCTTGTCATGCAGTCAGCTGCCGCCAAGCCCTCCCCTAGGGAGTGATGTGCCCTACCGGTGTACCTGGTTAAGTGTTTTTCCTCCAAGAGCTGTGCATCCATTGTGCACCAATTGCACATCTGGGTCTCAGTAAATAATGAACAACACTAAGACCGTGATGGCCATAATATCGCATGTGCCAGTGCTAAAATAAAACATGCAGACCCACAGGGAAATGGTCCTTAATATCTAAGTGCTTGCCAATGACAAAGAAATGGTGGGTCTGAATTTGGTCTCAAACTCTTACAACCAGTTTGGGTCTGGAACCATTGGATGCTTTGAACCAAGTCAGTTTCAGAGGTATATTCACAGAAACTATAAATTATAATCCTTAGAGGAAGATAAATGTCAATTTAAAACTTATTTTAAAACTGGAAATAGGGGACACCTGGGTGGCTCAGTGGTTTAGCATCTGCCTTCGGCCCAGGGCGTGATCCCAGGACCAGGGATCGAGTCCTGTATTGGGCTCCCTGCGAGGAGCTTGCTTCTCCCTCTGCCTATGTCTCTGCCTCTCTCTCTCTCTCTCTCTCTCTCTCTCTCTCTCTCTCTGTCTCTCAGGAATAAATAAATAAATCTTTTAAAAATAAAATTAAATAAAAAATAAAATAAATAAAAATTAGAAATAGTAAGTATTTGATACAACAAGCATATTGCAGCCATGAAAATAAGCTCTGGTCCATCTGTCTGTCTCTAAGACAGCAAAACAAAGAACTTGAGATCTGGATCACAGATTCATTGTGCCCATTCTACAGATAGGAAAATGAAAACTCTGAAAAATCACACGACTTGTGCACACGGGCGCGCGCACACACACACACTCACCATATCAGTTTTTCCCTCTTAGTGGAAGGCGCATGCGCCACTTTTCCACAACCACTGTTGATTTTAAGACTTGGTTATTTCACATGGCCTCAAAAACCAGTGTGCTTTGCTCTTGGATTAACTGAACTATTTGAGCTAAAGGCTTAACTTGTTCTTAATCTTCTCTTTGAAATGCTGACTTAAAGAATTAGTGCCCTGTCCAACAGGTCAGAGGCTCAGAAGGAAGCAAGGGGCCCGCATGCACACTCCTTTAGCGACACAAAGTTCCTGGTTAGAGATCCAGGACCAGATTTTCGTGGAACCTATGTCAGATCCAGCATATCGTGGTTAGAGACCCGAGCAGAGGCAGAGATAAGTGGAGGCTATCTGGAGAAGCACCAGATGCTATCGGGAGAAAGTAGGCCGGGATGCAGGAAGCCCTTCTCTTGGGTCATTCAGAGTGGCCAGGCGTCTCTATGAAGGACCCACAGAATCCCAGAAACGGCACCTCTCCCACACCCGTGACCCTGGCACCCACCACCGACGTGGTGGCAACTGTCCCCACACCACTAGGCCCAGCAACAGGGGCTCAGAGTCTGTGGGTACTGCTGGCAGCATCCGAGCGACCGCTCCAGTTATGACATGACCTTTCTCCCTGCATAGAAAGGGGCTAAGTGGCTTCCTCGGGTAGGGGACCAGGTGCTCCTGTCCCCCGAAGTACCTCCTGGAGTGTCAGAGGCGGCAGCAGGGACCCCGTGGTTCAGGTCACACGGTCAGATTGACCATTCCCTCTTACAAAAAACAAGAGTTCTCTTTATCTTCCTGCGTAACTCTTGACATCACATCCGCTGTCCCACTCCACTCCTGCTGCCCCTGTGGCTTTTCTGTCCTGTGGGCGCCTTAATGATTACTGGAGCCTGAGTGTCAAATGATACAAATGTCCCCAGTGGGAGGGAGAAGAGTCTGTGATGATTTTTTCTGGGATCAGCTTCAGTCATGGGTCCTCAGATACCACTGACATTTTTCCAAGCTGCTTTATTTTTTTTTTAACTTTTTTTTCCCAAGCGCTTTTAAAGGTAGCATGGAGATGACCACGTCCTGTAGCGTAGGACAGGCACAGAGATAGTAGTTCAGCTAAGAAAGGCCCCAGTTACCCAGGCACTGATGCCACCTGACCCATTTCCAGAGGCAGGCTCGGAGGTTGGCATGGGGCAACCCGCAGCAGGTTTGGGGAAGTGAGGGGCCACAGAGGAGCCGGGTCAGTGGTGGAGGTGGCCCCCGAATCCTGTGGGAGGGAACGCAACTGCCTGAGCATCCCT